CGTGCCGGGGTCACTGTCCGTGTCGGGGTCACTGTCCGTGCCGGGGTCACTGTCCGTGTGTTTTAAAAAAAAAAAGCCCGATGTGTCCTGAGGAAGTCAGGATTCACCCGGATACATGGCGCAGTTATAAAGATTCACGCAGATGACAACGTTTCAGAGCTGCATTCAGACATTCAGGTTTTTTCCCTTGGTCAGGAAGGGGTTAATACCCGCCGTCTATGACATCACAGCCACAATAACATTTAGTGGAAGGTTTTTCCCGTCTATCGGGCGGTGGATCTCACGCTGCGCACAGAACACACAGCGATCAGTTTATGTGATACGGCGTTCAGGGGACTTGGCGTGAATCTCTTGTTATTTCAGCGCCCCGGCCGCTCCTCGGCCATGTAAATAAAGGTGTTGCCGGGAGACGGAGCCGAGCTGGCGGGAGAAGAATAAACGCATTTCATATAAACGCTGAAGACTCGTCTGACCCATCAGCACACCTTCCAGAGGAAGAAATGTGCGCGTTCCAAGTCCTGGGATGGGCCCCTCTTAGGTTATAAAGGGGCCCGGCCCAGAGAGGGGATATAACGCAGAACACCGGGAGCGGGGGGAGTGATCTGTAGTCCTGTCTCCCTGCAGCCGATCTTCCCCCATTACTGACTTACCATGCCTTACTCTGCACTGTGTGGAGGCGGCCATATTGGTAGAGGCGGGGCTTTGCACCCTCATTTCAGAACCTCCAGCAAGGAGAACAGTGAGCAGCACCGAGGTGACATCACCTGATCTCCTTAAACTGGCGGTGAGTGTACAGGAGTGCCTGGGCACAGGAAGTGCTCTGATATCTGGAGTGTCTAGACACAGGAAGTGCTCTGATATCTGGAGTGCCTAGGCACAGGAAGTGCTCTCATATCAGGAGTGCCTAGGCACAGGAAGTGCTCTCATATCAGGAGTGCCTAGGCACAGGAAGTGCTCTGATATATGGAGTGCCTAGACACAGGAAGTGCTATGATATCAGGAGTGCCTAGGCACAGGAAGTTCTCTGATATCTGGAGTGTCTAGACACAGGAAGTGCTCTGATATCAGGAGTGCCTAGGCACAGGAAGTGCTCTGATATCAGGAGTGCCTAGGCACAGGAAGTGCTCTGATATCAGGAGTGCCTAGGCACAGAAAGTGCTCTGATATCAGGAGTGCCTAGGCACAGAAAGTGCTCTGATATCTGGAGTGCCTAGACACAGGAAGTTCTCTGATATCTGGAGTGTCTAGACACAAGAAGGGCTCTGATATCAGGAGTGCCTAGGCACAGTCACGTAGCAGGAAGTGCCCTGCTGTATCAGGAGGAAATCCAGACAAAAGGTCGATCTTTCCTTTCAGTAAGTTGCATCCTTGGGGTGACTACAAATTATCTGCAGTGTTGGCAATGTTACAATCACCTCTCCAGGCATCCAGCGTCTGGTCTTCGCTCTGGCCCGCAGCCGCCATCACTTCCAGGTTTCTGCGTCCCCAGACTCCGGTGCACCCGTGTCCCCGAAGACTCCAATGCACCCATGTCTCCCTGTGATTGCAATGCGCCCCAGTGCACCCTTGTGTCACCACGTAGCCTTCAGCGCACACCGCAGTTGTCCGTCCTGCTACATCTCACCCTCAGGTACGCTGCTCCAATCACCTGGACTCTCCGTGGACCGGCGGTGGGTCACCTCATATTCTACCGCTTCTAGGCGACCCCCATGAATCCGCTGAGGGTCGCCATGTTAGTGCGGGGCCCGGCAGTGACGGGGTTAAGTGTCTCCCATTTATAAAGTCCTCGTGTTTAATCTGATAATTGGTTTGAAGTTCGGAGAGATGAAGATCCTCAGAGAAGATTCCGGAGCACTAATGAGACCCGAGAGCACGTGATGAGGGGGGCAGCAGCGGCGGCGCCGGGGAGACAATTACTGACCGCCGTCATCACACCGGAGAATTCACACAGAATGTGACATCAAAGGAGAGAAGCCGCTAAGAGCTCCGATACCCCCCGACCAGCGCCACCCCCCCGAGCTGTGAGCGTCAGTGACTATTACATAGAAAGCTGCCTCCTTCCTGTACATACCGAGACCCGTGTCCTTGTATCAGGTACTGTGGGATTTGGGGTGGGGGGGGTTTAGTATAAGGGCACGGGAAGTCTCAGTGTGGTCATACGGTATGTGGCATCCCCGGCATCCCTCTAGCCTTAGAGGTGGCTCACCAAAGATGAGACTGCCATGAGGAGGAGAGGACACTGGGCTGCCTGTAACCTGACCTCAAGCTCTGTGCACGCTGTGTAACTTCACAAAGCTTTATTTGTATCTAAACCCAAGAACAAAAATTTAATTCATTGCATGTTACCAGTCCTCCAATGTGTCTGCACCCCACCCCCCCCCCGGTCCTCCGATGTGTCTGCACCCTTCCCCCCATACCTGTCAGTCCTCCAATGTGTCTGCACCCCCCCCCCACCGGTCCTCCGATGTGTCTGCACCCTTCCCCCCATACCTGTCAGTCCTCCAATGTGTCTGCACTGCATCCTGTACCCCCCATCCCC